GGGCTCCTATAGGCTCACTCTATAGTGACCCTATAGGGCCTTTATAGGGTCTCTGTAGGACCACTATGGGATATGGACAGCTTAATGGAAACTTTAGTTATCAGAAATTTACTCTAAAGCCGCGTGGTGGGCCCGAATGATTGTTATATCTGTTAATAACTCAATAAGCTCTACAAATTGGAATTACTAAAAGTTAAATAGCGTTTGATCAGTTGTAGGTGTTCCCTCGTTAGTGCCGAGACACTACGAGTATTAGGAACGATTAGTACAGATATGACATTGACAATCATCGTCGACTTTATATAAGCCAATCGATACGTCAATGGATGTCAGTCCTCAGTCGTGTTGATTCGCTACCCATACCGTAAAAACTGTTCGAAAATCACTGGTTAACTGCGGTTCTTCTGTTTAATTTATCTGTATATCTTACTTCATGAATATTTTTGATCTTTTAGAAAAATAATTATTTTAGTCAAAACGGCGCCTCCTAATTATCATGAGCGCGCTCAAGCAGTCTGTACCAGCTACATCGACTGTTTTCGCTTACTTTTTGAGTTTGACTGTTTATTAAAGATGACACCACAAAAATAGTCATTAGATAGAAGACTTAACCAATTGAAGGAAATATAATATCCCCGGACAAAAATATACTGTCACATAATAAAATCGACTTTTTATGTGTAGCAATTGATCTATTCAAGACAGAAAATATTAATTTAATAGCAAGATTTACGAGAAAGGTTGAAAAAAATCAGCAAACCATTCGAATGTCGGTTAATTGTTGGTTTCGATCAGAGATGTCCATGGCGACGCTGCCGCCGTGACGGTGGCGTCGCAGTACCGGCAGATTTTTCAAAAAACAACGCGACACGGTAGCGGCGTGAGAGAGATTTGTATGAGACTGTCGTGGTAGCGTCGCGTCAGCAGCAGCTTTTTAGGAAGAAATTTCAAAAATATATGAATTTGCACAGAATTTCGGTGTTGATATATGTGATACTGTAAGACTTAGCAAATCTGGTCGAATAGCAGCAACAGTTCTAATTCAAACCAATCACAACCTTGAAAATCGAAACATTTTTTTTGAATACCATTGTGACAGCGGCGAATTTCTTGACCAGTGCGTCACATCGCGGCAGCGGCAATTTTTTTTAAAGTTCATCGTGTCGTGGCAACGGCCCAGTACCTTTCCTTCGTTATTGCCGCGGCACGGCAGGGACACATTCTCAGCCACGATGGACATCTATGGCTTCGATGAAAAATTAACGACAATTGTATTTTGTCCCTGTCTCATATTTCTTTGAACTTTTCATTCGTTTCAATCCTACAGTATTGTTCATGTTCCACATGATTCATCTGTCTCTCTTTTTCTGCTACTATATTCATCAAGTTCGGTTGTTAAACAGACAACAAACCAAAGTCGATATAACGTAATTGCGAATTTAATGAGACCTCGTAAAAGCGGAAGACGAACAAAATGATAAACTTTGTGCGTGGAAAAGAGCAAAGTGGACGAGCTGTTGGTTGCAAACCTATCGGCACCAATGAAGGTCACAACTTGGTGCCCAGAGAGTAATATGTGACAATAAAGAGGAAAAGCTGCCGATCATCATAGTCGAGTCCATAATAATGAGCGCAGAAATCTTCGCTTCACTCACTAATTTAAAACAGTTAGAGGAGCAATTTTCATCACTCTCAGTAATGTGAAACATTAAGGACCGATTACTTCGAGACATAGGGTAATGCATCAAACTCTTGACGAAATAGCTTCGTCCCAATCGGAAATTACCAAAAATTAGACAAAAAAACTTTGGGACATATGGTCGCATTTCGAAGCCACTGAGTGAGAGTAAGGGCCTGGGTGTTTTTGTCGATGTGGACGTTCGGCATGGGAGTGGGTACCCGTGTTGCTCTCCGTTGTACTAACATCCATCATCGCCTCCGCCCCCACCCCCGCTCCCACATTCCACACACACAACCACCCACACTCACATCCCACGCTAATACTCAGACCCACACCCACACCCATCCACACCCACACCCATCCACACCCACACCCACACCCATACCTACACCCACACTCGCACCCACCCCACACACCCACACCCATCCACACCCACACCCACACCCCCTCACCCACATCATTCACGATTAGCTTATACTCATCTTCCACTTCACGATCGTGTTTATCATCATTGTTTATAGGAGGAGTTTTAGCTTGTTCTGTATAATAATCATAAAGCGCCCTCGCTATCTCTTGATGATCGACTGTAGTAGCTAATCCAACAGTTAATTTTGATAGAGGAAGTGTTTTCGGCTTATAAATCTTTGATAAATCTGACAAGAAGGCATTCCCTCGTACATCATGTGACTCTTGTATAGTCGAGAGAAAGTTTTTCCAACGGTCTGATTTATATTTATTTATTTCGTTCTTAACAAATCTAGTCGGCCTCCAGATCTTTCGTCGCTGTCATTCCGAACATCCATCTTTGACACTGGATGTTCGGAAATGACATTTAGTCCGTCAACGGGTGTTCGGAAAAAAAATCTAACGGATGTCCGTAACCAATAAAATGGATGTTCGTAAGAGAGAGATCCGATGTCCGGAATTGACATTTTAGTCCTCCAACGAGTGTTCGGAAAAAATCTAACAGATGTTCGGAATGAATTATGTCACATGACAGAGTTATAAAAGGTAGATGCCCGTAACAGAAGGTACCTAGTGTTCAAATACAAACATGGGGATGTTCGAAACAAAACAAACAGTGTTCAAACGAAGTTAGATATAGAGCTGTAAAGAAAGAAGAATAGATCTCATAATCTCGAAAGTGAAAACTCGAAAAAAACAATAATATTAGTTATTTTGATGTAAAAGTGAATAGAAGTTTGTAATTCAGTACACACTTTCACATCTGTAACTATGTGTCTAACATACTGTGTACAGTGTTGTGAAAGGAAGAGCGTTTCGAACATCGATTAACTGGAACTAAAGTGCTGCACTAATAAAAGAAGTAGATCTCCATTCTGAACATCCATTTTTTTCTGTTCCGAACTTCCGTGTAAAGTTTTACGAACATCCGTTTATTGTTGTTCCGGGCATCCCTATATTTTTATTACAAACATCCGTTAAAATTATCCAGTTCCTCATACAGAAATGTGCGTATCGTTGTCGTCCCGAACACCCGTTAAAAATTTTTACGAACATCCGTTTATTTTTCGATGATCGTTCCGAATATCCGTATTTTTCTAATTCCGGACATCCGATATTGTTATCATAAAAGTAATGATATTTTGAAGAAAATGGTTGTTCGGAACGAAAAGTAGCGACGAAACGTCAAAATGCCATCTAGTCATTATTCTTAACAACTTCCTGTAATCATCATCAACCATACCACCACTCTTTTTCCTCACTCTATAGTATTTATTCCGCACTTGTCGAACTTCTTTTAGCATAACAATTATATACGATGGAAGGGAAGGGCGATATTTATCTTTGTATCTCCACTTAGTCACTCTGTTCTTCAATGCAGCTAAAAAACAAACATAATTCTGATACCAACCATCGGCATCTTGCCTGTTTAATTCATTTATACAAAGCTCTTGCAACAGACTCAACACCACCTTGAACACTTTCCAATTCACTGCTGGGAAATGACCACTTCTTTGAATACCTATTTGGTCACTTTTCATGACCGTAGGTCAATGATCACTTGATCCTAATAAAAAGGTTTCTGCCTTAGCATCAACAACATTCGTAAAGATAAGGTCAATATGTCGTGCAGAACGTTTAGACGAATTTTTTGTTCCAGGTATAAAGATTAAGTTCATTTTCTCCATCCACCTTTTCAAAAGAAGACCTCTTGCATCGGTGGAAGGACTATTCTATTCATAAACTGAAGCATTAAAATCTCCAGCTATCCATGTAGCCGACTGTTGCATTATCATGTAATTATTGCCATTATAACGCATTATTGCGCAAAATAATGCATTACAATGGCAATAATTACATGATAATGCAACAGTCGGCCACATGGCTAGAACCGTTTTTCCTGTTATGAAGGGTGATAATTCATCTAAATTTCGATTTTGGCAATGGGGCCAATAAACTCCGATCACCCTAACTGGTTCAGTTAAACCATCAATATCTACTATCACCGTGTTCTCTGTTTTAATATCAATTCGTGTTGCTTTAAGATGTTTTCCTACCGCTACCACCACACCACCTTTACTATTTGTACGTCTTTGATAAAAGATATTGAAATGGGGGATAGTAAAACTGTTCCACAATTCTCCAACTTCTGTAAAAATACGAGTCTATGGGTTTTTTTATTTCAAATTGAATTTCGAAAAAAAAAGAACACCTCATTTTTACCAAGAAAGAGGGACTAAGGGACTAAAGGGACTAAAGGACTAAGGGACTAAGCGGACTAAGGGGACTAAGGGTAGGAATAATGGTGTACACAAAGACGTGCATGGGTCACGGCTCTTCGGGGGGCACATCGCGTCCCCACACCGCGCCGCTGAAATAAAAGGTGTGTTAAGTGGGGAAACGCGCTTCCCCACTGAATAGTCCGCTTAGCCCCTTAGTCCCCTTAGTCGCCTAGTCCCCTTAGGGTCAAGAAAATGTGAGCATCACCTGGAATGCTAGTAGCATCAACTGGGATGCTAGTAGCATCAACTGGGATGCT